CTTGCAGCACACAGGGGTGCAGCAGTCTCCCTGGCAGGGGGAGGAGGGGCCGCACAGGAGGGTCAGGCAGGGGGCCGGGGCGCAGCACGGGGGCTCGCAGCAGCTCTCTGGGCAGTCGTCCACCTGCCAGGAGGAGTCGGGGCAGGAGTCCGAGGCCCCGGGCAGGCACACGCGGCTGCCATAGCTCAGGTCGCTGGAGCAGATGGACAGGGTGGACGCGGCCATGGCGGGGGCGGTGGGGCTGGAGGAGGGAGTGGGTGTGCGTGTGAGTGTGTGTGTGTGTGTGTGTGTGTGTGTGTGTGAGGAGCTCCGGCTGTCTGTCGGCTTTTATACCTCCCAGCTATGTGTTGTCCCAGCTGACGGCTCACACGCCTCCTTCCTTGTTGGTCTGAGAGCTGCTTGCAGGGTAAGCCCTCATTAGCACTGCTTTATTTTCTACGATTGGATTTTACTCAGTCGTCTTGTGAGTCTGTGGCAGGACTCTGTTTTCCCACATGTTCATTGTTTGGTTCCAGAAAACTTGTGGAAAATATTTGAGGCAGGTTTTGCTGAGTGAGGTTAGAGGGGAGCCCTTCTCCAAAGTGATGAATTCTGGTTACAGCTCCCCTGTTTGGAACTGCTTTAAATATTTTAAAATTCCTTTGAAGTCTGATAAAGTGCAACTCACCTTATAAAATGCAGAGGACTGGCTCACAGAAAGCTAAATAACCACCCTGTGCCTGTGTCAGGAGCAGTGTTTCCATGCCCCCAGACAGGCTCAGTCTCAGCTCCTCTTCGTCCTCCATGACTAACTCAGAGGCCCCTTGTTATATTTCGAGATGCATTCTGGACTTCTTTTTTCCATTTTCATTTGGCTATGTTAGAAGATCAAAAACGTTTTTACATGTGGTGGTCAGTTTTATATTTTAGGACTTTTTTCATGTCTGAAATGCAGCAATTTATGATAGTTTGGCTGGGTATAGAATTCAGATTTTTAACTGCTTGTTTCCTGAAAGCCTCAAAGGTACGTTTCCATTCTCTTGTGCTGCCATTGTTTATTCACCTTTTATCTCTCTCTTTTGTTTTATACTTGAGGAGCACTTGGTTTTCTTTGTATTGTAGTTCTGAACTTTGTATGGTTGGAACTCATCGAGCATTTCAGTGCGAAGGCTCACTTCAGGAAATGTTTGTGTACAACTGAAAAAAATATCTCATCTTTCCTTGTCTCTCTTGTTGTGCTCCGGTTAGACATCAGACCTTCTGGAACCAGCCATTTAAAAAAAAAATTTAATGTTTATTTATTTTTGAGAGAGATAGAGACAGAAAATGAGCAGGAGAGGGAAAGAGAGAGAGACACACACACACACACACACACACACACACACACACACACAATCCAAAATATGCTCCAGGCTCTGAGTTGTCAACGCAGAGCCTGACACAGGCTCAAACTTGTGAACCAGGAGATCGTGACCTGAGCCGAAGTTGGACGCTTAACTGACTGAGCCACACAGGCACCCCTGGAACCAGCCTTTCTATCTCTCAACTTTTCTCTCATTTTCCTTATGTTTGTCATTTGCCCTCTTGACTCTCTTGGTTTTATGTTTTGGACCACGTTTCAGTCTTTAGCCATTTCTAGCCTATTATTTGGCATTATTTACAAGCTTACAGTTTTCAAACATCATCACCTGATTATTTCTTGTTCATAGCAGCTTGATTTCATCTTGCGATGTGAAGGAGATGTGTTCTCCGCAACTCTGATTATGGTACAGGTGTCTCCCTGCTTTCCACCGAGTCTTACACGTCTATTTCATTGGACATCAGGCAAGGCCTGCTCAATGGTGTCAGTTCATTTGATTTTATGAATGAAAAACTTCTGGGGCATTGAGGTCCTGTTCCAATTTATATACAAATCTGTTTCCTGCTGCGTCTCTTTTCTACAAACATAAAAAAAAATCCCGAGCTTCCTTCATGCTTTTATACTATTTTGATTTAGTTTTCCTTATAATGTTTGAGATATCCTTTCTGTAGGCCTTCTAGGGGTTGTGGGAGAACCATGCATTTAATGCACTCCCCTGAACGGAAGAATGCAGTGTTGCTATGGGAAATACGAATAACCACCTGGTACTACAGGGTGTCCCGGTGCTTTCCTGTGTAGACACACACAGTCACGGCGGGCAGCTTCCGAGGTCAGCCACTGTGTGAGGCGCCCCTCGGGGACCCACTTTCACAGATGCAAAAATGCTGGAGAAGTGAACCACTCAATGGTGGGTGGGAAGTTCAAGAGCCCACAATTCCGAATACATCTCTCATGCCCCCTGGTCAAGCCCCCAGGCCTGGCCCCCAAAGCCTGGGGTTTTGTGAGTGGGAATGGGGAGGGAACGCGGGCTTGAGGCCAGTGGGGTCGGGGGAGGCTGACGCTGGCTTTGGGGACAGGCCCTGGTGCCAGCAGGTGTTGGGGCTCATCCTCCTCTTCTGCTTCTGATTTGTGGCCCACGTCCCTGTGTGTGATGCCCTTTCCCTCGGCCCATACACTGCCTGCTTCTCCCTTCTCTGGACGGTCACAGCATCATTCAACTGCCCCTGCTTCAACCACACCTCCTCAGGGTTGCTGGCGCCCTGACCCAGGTCCGGACCCCTCTCTGAGATGGACCACTGTGGGTCGGGGGCTTCAGGCTGGTGCCGGCGGGCCAGGGTCAGTGGGAGATGGAACGATCACATGATTGCTGAAAACAGGAAGAAAAGCTCTGGGCATCTGAGCAGGGACATAAGGGCAGCGAGCTGGGTCCTGGCTCGCAGGCACGGAGGCGCCAGCAGTGAGCGAGAGTCCGGAAGGCTGTGGCGCAGACAGCCACGTCAGTGGCAAGGGATTCACGTTTCGTGTCTTCCTTTCCAAGCGCATGTGTTCTGTTTATTTTGCTGTCGTGGCACCAGCTGGGATGCCTGGTACAGCCCGAGCCCCTGGCAGCAGACCCTCCTGCCTCACTCCAGGGGGGAACCAGAGTGCGTGATGGAGCGTGTGGCCAGGCCGACGTTCATGGCTTTGTGGTGGAATTTGGTTGAACTTACGTGGTTTCTTTGTCTTCCCAGTTTGCCAAGAGTTTTGCTTTGGGCTTTTGAGTAAGGAATGAGTTGGATTGTGTGTGTGTGTACGTGTTCATCTGTTGGGAGGAAATTCTAACGGCTTTTCTGCTCCCAGTCTCCAGCATCATTGGTCATATTTCTAACTTGCGTTCGGACATTGACTCGACTTTTTACTCTTGTCGGGCAGCTCCGTATTGGATGAGCTAACACTTTGGAATTTCTTACTTTGTATTCTTAGGTGAGCCTGGGTTACAGTCAGTTTCTCTGTCTCCCTCCCTCTAGAGAGTGGCTTTGGCATCAGAGTTTTACCAGGCGTGTTAACTAAACCCAGAAGACTTCTGGCTTTTTCTAAGCTCTGCAATGTTGTGAATGTAACAGGAAAGGCCTCTGTGTTGAAGGCTGGCGGTAGGCAACCTTACCGAGTCTATGCCTTTTGAAGATGAGACCTTTACATATCTTTTCAAGATCTTCTTTGGATATCGTTGTATTACAGTTTTCATCTTGTTAGTCAATACAGGCAACTTATAATTTCTAGAACTTGGTATATTTCATTTACATTTTCTTTTTTTAATGTTTGTTTACTTTTGAGAGAGAGGGAGAGAGAAGGGGGAGGAGGGGCAGAGAGTGAGGGAGACACAGAATCTGAAGCGGCTCCAGGCTCTGAGCTGTCAGCACAGAGCCCGACGTGGGGCTTCAACTTACGAATCATGAGATCCTGACCTGAGTCGAAGTCGGACGCTTAACTAACTGAGCCCTCCAGGCGCCCCTTCATTTACATTTTCTAATTTTAGGATAAATATACTCATATACTACTTTTTTTATGCTTAGAAACAAATATCTCTGAATCGGTGAGCATATTCTTCTGTCCATTTTAAAGTTTATTGTTAGTAAACTTGCCAGAACTTGTAACATTTTACTGATACTTTTATTAAAATTTTTTTTTCATGTTTACTTTAGAAAGAGAGAGAGAGCAAGGGCACAAGCAGGGGAGGGACAGAGAGAGAGGGAGAGAGAACCTCAAGCGGGCTCTGTGCTGTCAGTGCAGAGCCTGACATGGGCTCGATCTCACGACCCTGGGATGATACCTGAGCCCAAATCAAGAGTCGGACGCTCAACCGACTGAGCCACTCCTACTCTTTCTTACTTTGCTTTTTGAGGGACACCTGTGTGGCTCAGTTGGTTAAGTGTCAGCTCAGGTCTGATCTCACTGTTTGTGAGTTCAAGCCCCACGTACGGGCTCTGTGCTGACAGCTCAGAGCCTGGAGCCCACTCAAGACTCTGTGTCTCCCTCTCTCTCCGTCCCCCACACACACTCACACACTCTCTCTCTCTCTCTCAAAAATGAATAAACATTAAAAAATAAATTTAAAAAAATTTTGTTTTTTCAAGTATTTTTTTCTAGAGTGTTGAGGGGAACACTTAACCTCTGTCCCGGAAGCCACGCACCAGGGGAGGTGAGGCTTTGTCGGTAATACTGTTCCACACACCCTTGTTTAGGCTACCGTGTTTTCGGGACTGTCCTACCACCGCCGTGAGGCCAGGCCTCCCTGGGAAAGGCTTGACAGACTGCAGGCGGGTGAGTTTCTGCTTCGGAGGTGACGGATGGTGGTGTCACGGCAGGTGCCTGGGGATCCCCGCTGGGTCCCAGGCACGGATAGTATCCGTGAACGTTCTGTGGACACGTGAAGGGCCCGGGCCATTTCCGTCTTGCCGGAGATCGCTGAGCAGAAGTTTAGGAGGTCCATGGGCAGTGAACTTTCCGGGCTCCTGTTGTTTAAAAGCCGTCCTCTGTGGTGAGTGGGGCAGGGCCAGAGGTTCCTCTATTTTCTAGTCTTTTCTCTTGCTAGAACCTTGTAGAAACTTCCCCCTCCTGGCCCCTGCCACCTCGGGTTACCGTAGTGCTTTCATCGCCTTGTTTCATCTTGCTCCTCACAGTGTCTTGTGGCTCCAGGCGCGTTTGTGCAACTTTTATGCCATGACTTTCTTCCGTGACTGGGGTTCGATCCATCCCCTTCCGCTCTGCTCGGGGCCGCGGATGCTGGCCGGCTGCGTTTGCCCTCCTCGTGTCCTGAGCTCTTCGGACCTTCCTCGCTCTGTCCTTCGGCATCGCGTTCTGTGCAGATCCTTCCAGAATTAGCTTTTACCCACACGCTCCACTGCACACACTCTTATGTCTCCTTTTATTTGGAGTGTCATGCTTTTAGCTTCCAAGAAGTCCCAAGTATTTCCATCCTTCTTCCCTCCCTCCCTCCCTCTGTCAGTCTGTCTGTCTGTCTTTCTGTCTTTCATAAGCATCCTGTTCTTACTTTAGGAAGTGGTAGCCTCTCCCTTACTTCAGTGTCCGCTTGACCGCTAGTTCAGAGATTTGCTTCTCTTCCACACTTACGCTTTCCTTACGTGTTTGGAGACCTTCGGTGTTCCCGTGTTTACGCGAGGCTCTGGAGAGCTGGGTATTCGTTGGCGGTATGTGCTCTGCACAAGCAAACGTATCCTTCTTCGTGCAGAGCTGATGGCTGGGGCTCTGAGGAGCGAAGGGAGTGTCCTATCTTCCGGAAGTTTCTAAGAGTGCTGTGTGTTTTTCTCCAACCCTCAACCGGGATGGGAGCCTCCAGGCCACCCCGCCCCGTGTGGTTCCTCTCCTGCCACTGCTCTGCGTCAGCCGGACGCACCGGGGCCGCGCGATGCAGGACTGCAATCCAGGAGTCCCTGGCCCAGGGGTCACACACAGTCTGTCCTCAGGTCAGCCCCTGACGCCCCCACCTCGGGCCGCTCCAGGTCCTCGGAGGAAAGCCACCGCGACAGTCTGCTGACACCTGCCGTACTTCCTGTCGAGGTTTAGAGTCAACCTGCGCTTTCCGCTCAGACTTTCCCAGAAGACCTTTTAAGGGTTTGGTCCCTGGGTGGCCCTCCTCGGTTTTCTCTCCCTGCCCGGGACTCACTGATTCTTGTTTGGATGCACAGGAAATGGCAGCGTTCGTCAGCAAACCGGTCCAAACTGGAAATGGAATGAGGTTTTGTGCGTGTGTGTTTTAAGTTTGTTTATTTACTTTGAGAGAGAGAGTGGGCGCATGTGAGGAGGGGAGAAAGAGAGAGAGAGAGGGAGAGAGAGAATCCCAAGCAGGCTCCGCACTGCCAGTGCAGATCTCCACGTGGGGCTTGAACTCACGAACCGTGGGTTTGTGACCTGAGCCGCAATCAAGAGTCTGACCCTTAACTGACTGAGCCCCCAGGCACCCTGAGGCTTTGTGTTTTTGACAGACTTCTTCTATATATATGGCTCACCTGCCACCGTGTTGACCTACTTCGGGTGCACGGTCCGTGGTTTTATTGTGTTCGCAGACTCGTGCCGCCACCTCCACGCCTTAATTTTGGGGCCTTTTCACCACCCCTCCCCCTCAAATGTAGGGACTGTGATGGTTACCAGTCGCTACCCTCTGCCTTCCCCAGCCCCCAGCAACCTCCAGTCGCTTTCCGTCCCTGGATTGTCCTACTCTGGACATTTCTGATGAATGGGAACCCACGACATGTGGCCTTTTGCGTCTGGCTCTCGCACTCAGGCCCAGCCGTGCTGGGGTGGACGGTGCTTCCCTCCTGATGAGACTCCGTCGCGTGGCCCGGCCACATTTTGTGTGACCTCTTCGGCTGGTGGACATTCGGGTCGTTTCCACTTTTTGGTTACTGTGCGTCAGGCTGCCGCGAACACCGTGTCCGGATTTTGCTGGCACACCTGTTCTCCGTCTTCAGGGAAGGCGCTGGGAGGTGGGCCTGCTGGGTCACGTTGTGACTCTTGGGAACACGTTTGGAACTTTCTTTCTCCAGCCTGTGCCTGGGACCCGGGTTCAGATGGGGCAGAAGGACACTGCAGTGGGGCCTCCCCGAGGGCGGCTGACACTTCCCCCCCGGCACGCTCCCGGGGGACCAGGGCAGGCTGGGCCACGCTGGCTGTGACAGCGGCGTAGGACCAAGTAGAAGAGGAGGGGGAGGGAGCCCCGGGCCCTCTGCTGCCATCCGCTCCCCCTGTGGTGGCCAGAGGACACAGAGCCCGGAGGCTCAGGCCGTGTGGGAGCAGGAAAGCCAGACTCTCTGCTGCCTCAGGCCCTCACTGTGTCCCTCCCTAGGGAACTGGCCATGCTACCAGGAAGGCGGGCCAGCCTGTGTCACCTTGGCCTCTAGCTCTGGGGGTGCCTGCCCTAGGGGGCAGCCTCAGGGAGGAGCAGGGGGGCTGCCATATGAGATGGGACAGCTCAGCCCGCTGTGCGTGCCTAGCCACCTGGCCAGCTGTCCTCCGTGCCGACCTGCTCGGTCCGTGTGCTTGGGATCCCGGACCGCGTGTCCCGTGGGGCGCCCTGGAGGGGGCCTGAGCCCCAGCCCGAGGGGCGGCGGGCAGAAGCCAAGTGGCCATTTGGAGAGGCCGGGAAGACCTCGGGGTGCGGGAAGAGCAGCCTGGGGGGCAGTACGCATGAGTCCTGCTCCCCCCCCCCCCCCGCCCCACCACCAGAGACGTGGGCATCTTCCCACTCACCTGGGACGTGGGCCTCAGGGGCCCGGTGCAGTGGGGGTGGGGGTGTGGGGGGCCGGGGCTTAGGGAACAGCAGATGTGGGAGCATCAGACCAGGTGTCGGGATCCAGGAAATGGTCAGGAGGCAACCGGGAGGAGGCCACACAGGGGCTGGCGTCCTCAGTCGGTGAGCACCGTACCCCTGCCGGCCGTGCCTGAGAGCCACGGTGGGGGCTTCTCCATCCTGGTGTGGGGTGGGGACAGGCCGGAGGAGAGGCTGCTGGGTGTGGGCAGCCAGCGAGCTGGAAGGGGGAGTGTGGCTCAGGCTCTCGTGGCTGCTGACGGCGTGGGGGTGGGCGTCCACTGTGTCCCACAAACCTCGGTCTTGGTTAGAGAGACAGCTTTTCTGAGATGGACCCGGGGGCCACGTGCTAGGGCCGGGGGTCCCCTAGGGCCCAGGGGGGCCTGGCCTGTGGGGTTCCCAGAAGCCAGCACCAAGTGTCCACCGTCACCCTGACCCTAGTGTGTCCACAGAAAGACAGGAGGTCGGCACGAGTCAGAGGCGGCTTTATTAGGACTCAGAGGTGATGTCACTGCTGGGGTGGGGCCAGGTCTGCTGGGGGACAAGGAATACCCCAGAGCTCATGGGGCTGGTGCCGCTGGGTACCCTTGTGCAACTGGGGTCAGGGCAGATGTGGTGAGCATCCCAGGTCCCTGAATAAGCGGCCAGGCCAGGAGGAGGGCTCTCCTTCCCCTGGCGCTTGTGCAAGCCACAGGGTCACAGCTGGCTTGAGGTCAGCGTCCTGCCCAGAGAGGACCCTGGGTGATGTCTAGGAAGGCTCAGCAGCAGGACTGGCCCGAGGCAGGGCCACAGCAGGCAGGGCGGGGGCACATGGGGCGGCAGAGCAGGGACATGCAGGAGGCAGGGCGGCAGCAGCTGGACCGGCACGAGGAGGCAGGGGCGCAGCAGGCGGGCCTGCACACGGGGCGGCAGAGCAGGGACACGGAGGAGGAGGGTCTGCAGCAGGGGCTGGGCTGGCAGCATGAAGAGGTTGTGCAGGGGGAGTCCTCGCAGCAGACAGTGGTGCAGCACACAGGCTTGCAGCAGACAGGGGTGCAGCAGACGGGCTTGCAGCAGACAGGGGTGCAGCAGACGGGCTTGCAGCAGTCTTCCTGGCAGGGGGAGGAGGTGCAGCAGGACGGCTGGCA